AGCTGTGATGTGAGAGTGGGGTAAATATCTTATTTGAGGTGCTGGTGTGCTGTTGAATGGTTAATGCTAGCTCTTGCTGCACCCTGCAGTCCTCCAACTTGGGCCTTGCTTGCATAAGTGGGAAGATGGTTCCACGCTGATTAGCCCTGGAGAAAACCTCCATTCTCTCCCACTGATGGGCTAATGAGGAGAAGCAGCCGATTAACATGGCAGAATGAAGGTGGCTGCATATTCAGAGACCGCACGTTCTGACTGAGACATGGAGAGATGTGAGGAAAGGAAGGTAAATGTGGCTTCCAGGGACAATTAGACCCATGTGTGGGGGATGTTGCACATGTTGAGGCTCATCCTTTGGAGCAATGCTCTTTGTAACTTGTGTGTGTGTGTGTGTTTTGTATGTGTGTGAATGGATGTGATGAAACCTTATGAAATATGCTTATGCTTGCCAAACTTCCATCCGGCATATCACACTCACAAGAAACAAGGCTGGTGTGAAAACATTTATAGTAGCTTGTTTTGCATGCTGTTTCAGTAGATCAGACATTCCTAATATGCTTACACAACAATGTGTAATTGGTAACAAAGTTACACTTTCTGAGCCATAGTCAAAGCAATATTCTGGGATTAGTAGAAGTTAAGCTCAACTGACAGCATTTGTGGTGTGATGTTGATTACATTTCTTTGAAAATGTTTTTTTTCCTTTTCTTTATTTTTTTTCTTTTCTTTTACCATGAGGTCCTTGCGGTGGAATTGAATGAGGCCAATCCATACATGTTAAAATACTCTCTCTTTTAAAAGCCACACAAAGAAAACAATATGAATGTTAGCATTAATTTAGTGTAAAAAACTGCTTACTTTAACTTTTTTTTTTGTTGCATAAAGTTATATTAAATTGTATAACTTTGTCGTCATGACAACAGAATACCATACAACTCTAAAATGACTGTAAAAATTATGATTTAAACAGCTTTACAGCTCAAATAATACACAAGTTTTTATAAAATTATATATATTTTATAATATATATATTAAAATTATATATTCACATTTCTGTTTTTTAATCCTCAAAAATTGGCACTGTTTAATTCCATTGTGCACTACACACTTTTTCTTAAAAGAAATGAATACTGACATTAGTAAATAATTAGTTCTAATAATTAGTAAATAAGTAATTAGTTAATAATTACATTTATCAGGGTGGCCGCAGGTCCTTAAAAAGTCTTAAAATGTCTTAAATAAAGTTTTCCTAAAATAAGGCCTTAAAAAGTGTCAATCAAGAGTACTCCCCCCATTATGCAAATATTTCCACATAGTGAGGTAGATATGTGGGGGCGTGTTAGCACGAGCCGTTTTAGGGGGGCGTGGCAGAGTCTTAACTTTGATAAAGAATATCTCTTTGGTTTTGAGACTTTAGTCTTTGCAACTTCAGGGATCTTATCTATGCACAATCAGCTTGTAACACTCCAAAGAGAAAGGAAAACTTGAAATCGCATCATATGACCCCTTTAAACAGCAATTGATAGTGTATTTCTATTATCAGGCTCGTGCTGCCTGTCTGAAAATATTGCTTCAGAATAAATTGTTTACACCACCAAAAATCTCGGCGATGCGACACTTTTGTTTTGTGGGAATATTTTGCATGGGATATTGTCTGCTGATATGAAAAGTTCACTGTATATCGTAATAACAAACAGAATTTCTGACAGCGATGATATTTTGTTTTCTTTTTACATTTTAAACGCGTTAAATATTACATATACGTATGTAATATAATGTGTATTTCCATCACAGGCTTGGTCTTAAATTTCACATAAGGTGGTATTAAAAAGGTCTTAAAAAGTCTTAAATTTAACTTGTTCATATCTGTAGACACCCTGTTTATTAAAAATGACAGTAAATATATTTATATTTGAACTTCCTATTCATCAAAGAATCTTGAAAATAATTGATCCTGGTTTCCAAAACAATATTAAGCAACACAACTGTTTTCAACATTAATAATAATAAGAAGTGTTTCATAAACACCAAATCAGCACATTAAAATGATTTTTGAAGGATCATGTTACACCAAATGTAGTAATGGCTGCTGACAATTCAGCTTTGCCATCACATGAATAAATTACATTTTAAAATAGAAAGTAGTTATTTTAATGGTAATAATATTTCAAAAGACACTAAAGACTATATATAAGATTATATATTAATTACTTATTTTCTGATGAATAGTCACAAGAAGCATTCTGAGAGGTTAACAAGTTGCCTGATGTACAACAGAGCAGATGTTTCCTGACAGCAGTGTCGGAATACAAACAACAGTTAGATAGAGAACGGATGTGTATTAAGCATCATCAGAACTGTATTATTTTCACTTTGATAAGTGAGATTTATTTGCATATTCAGCAGCAGAAATAAGCATCTGTTTTGAGGTCCATGTCTCCCCGACTGATGTTTATTCAGGAGAATGCTGAGTAGATGGCACACGCAACTTTCCCAATAAAACAGCACCAGCTGCCCTGAGGAAGCCCTTGTAAGTAAAGAGCAAACACCTGGAAGAGTCAGGCGAATATTTATAGACCTTAATGAAGAGAAAAGGCGGGGTCTCCAGGTGGTTGGTGCAAATTAAATGGGCACCCTGAGTTATATAAACTGACCATTTTAATGCTGAAGTAAACATAAAAAAAAAACATTTGAATAAATATGATTATGTAAAGAATATTTTCAAGAAAATATGAATATTCCGAAGTTCTAATTTGGAACTTGGAACACGCTCAGGCCATCCAAGATATAGATGGGTTTGTTTCTTCATCGCAACAGATGTGGAAATGTAGCATTACATCTCTTGCTCAACAATGGATCCTCTGCAGTGAATGGGTGCCGTCAGAATGAGAGTCCAAACAGCTGATAGAAACATCACAATAATCCACATGACTCCAGTCCATCAAGTAACGTCTTGTGAAGCGGAAAACTGCATGTTTGTAGGAAACAATTCAGTTATTAAAGCATTTTAACTTTAAACGGTCACTTCTGGCCAATATATAAGTCCATAATGAAGCACTATGAAGCAACATTGTACATCTCGTATGCAACTCATGCAATTATTCTTTTAAATGTTAAGCTTTTGTTTATGGCAAATGGCATGTGATAAATACAGTGCACAGTTCATAATAAACATCCACTTTACACAAGTGAAATACATTATAAAGACAGACATTTACATCTTTTTAAATGGTAAAAGATCTTCTATGTCAGAAAGAAAGCAAGCAAACTTGGTGTTTACCCCTCGCAGAGAGCAGCGTGAAAAATGAAAAAGAACAGAATCCTGAGACTCTGAGGTGCTGAGGAAAGTTAAACAACTGAGACTAAACCATGACTAGGCGGCTGAGGGATGTCAGATAAAACGAACCCTTTTCTTTGCCTGCATGAGGTGAGAGGCAGATACATTCTTCAGGAACAAGGATTTGGCAGTGACATGGTTTTATCTTTTTGTTCTGAGATTTATTACATTTACTGATTTCATTCAAAAGAGCATTATGAAAGTGAACTTTAGGTGATTAAATGGTGTCTCAAAAGAGCTTAATGAGAGTGATTAAACATACCATATTCTCCTGAGTGTAGTGTGAGTGAATTAAGTTTTTCATTTTTTTTTTTTTAATTTGCATCCTCTGCATCAAAATGCTTTGTTACATCTGCTATTAGTACTTGTCAGTTAGTAGATTGTTTCAATCCAAAGGGACTTTTGGTGCACTTTAGTTGAGATTGATGAGAGTCATTAGTGCACTAAGAAAAGCATCTAGAGTTGGTTTTGCTGGTTAATGGTAAGATAAGTAGAAATGGATTGGGCTTTTACAGTACTAATTGATCAGTTCTTTAAGGTCACTTCCCAGGTCACTGATTCCATGTTGATCTGGTCCTGAGTATCAGCACTTGTCAAATGTCTTTTTACTTCCTAATCAAGCAGCTTGTCCTGAGATTAAATATTGACCATAGAAATCCTTCTTGAAAGCTATTAACTTGATTAACCTCTCCTGAACATCCACTAGTGATTTCAGCTCAACTGGAGCCAAGACTGTGTTTGGAATAGAATACTAGTGTACAGCGCGTGCTTTACAAAAAAGTGAATGAAATGGGATAAAAGTATAGGCTATAATAAACATTTCAAAGGCTTAGTTGTCTCAAAAAGACAAATTTGACATTATTTGCTAATGTCGTATTTGCTAACCTCATATCATTAACCTCATATTATTACCTGCCCAAATCAGATGAAGCTTCCTAGTTAAATAATCACATCAACAACCGTTAAGAGCATTTCTGGACATTGTATGGCTTCACTTTCACTGGATGGAAAAGAGCAGCTTGCACATTCTGATGTTAATAACTCTTTTTGTGTTCCGCAGAAGAAAGTAAGTCTTCTTGAAAGATACAAGGCTATAAACGTGGCATAATAATGTTTGTAGTGATGGGAGAAACAAAGCTTTTGGTAACACTTTATAATAACTAATTTATATTAACTAATGATCTGTTGAGCATTATATAATGTTTGTTAATGATTTATTAATGAAAGTTATTATAAAGTGTTACCAAGCTTTTTAAAACTTTGAATCAATTGACCCAGTTGCTTTGCAAAATGATTCAGAGCTCAAAATGCCCCACGATTCCTGCTGGTCAGAACAATGTAAATGCAATGAAAACTCAGCTCAAACATGCCTAAAATACAAACCAATGGCAAATGTTTTATTGAAAGTCTAATCTATTAAATGTAATTAACAAATAATCTATTAACTTCAAATATGTTATTTTTTTAAACTATAGGTCTTGGTTTGCTTGTTTTATACCTCAAATGTGGGCAACATAATAGATTGTTCTTTCTCGTATTCCACGCATACAGAAATGTTATATACTGAACATTGTGTACATGCTGCAGAAATAGTAGTATTATAGTGTGTTACTGTGCCATTCTGAACATAATCCAGGTAGATAATTGTTTTCTGGTGTGTTTACAGGTGGAGAGGACAGAGGTGATTCGGAGCTGTCTAAACCCCACGTTTTCTAAGGTCTTCACCCTGGACTTCTACTTTGAAGAGGTCCAGCGACTACGTTACGAGCTCTACGACATCAGCAGTAGTCATAATGGCATGAGAGAAGCGGACTGCCTGGGAGCCATGGAGTGCACACTGGGCCAAGTGAGCATAGATATTCAAGCAGGCTATGTGTGATTAATATGATTTTTCTAGTTTTGCTTGGCAATGCTCATTTTGCAACAGGATCTCTACATGATCGTTGATTGCACACAGTCAAGGAAGAGTGGGGCCGGCACTGTGCCCAAATCAGATGAAGCCTCCTAATTAAATAACCACACCAACAACCGTTAAGAACATTTCTGGACATCGTATGGCTGATTGAATTTTGAAAAGTGAGATGTCTGTGTAGCTGGCTCAGTGTGGGATGGACGGCCGGCCCAGATGGGCCATGCTACTCTCTTATCTGCAGTTTGAGCAAATGGAAAACCAGACACATGATCTTCTGCCAGATGGTTAAGATTAGCAGTTTCTCAATAAAGAATTTGCTAGAAGCTTATAGTGTATAACGGATGCCAGTATTCATTTTGTTCAATATTCATGTGTTTATTTTTTTGCGTCAAAGCCATAAGTCTGCTTTTCTCTCAGAGGAGCTGGGTTGTTTGTTTTAATTCAGTCTGTTTTGGTTGGAGGGGGAAGAGGTGAGTATAATTGTTGAAATGAGCTGCATTTAATAAAGTGAGAAAGCGAGTTGTTGACACTCACTCATACAGAGTTTCTAGGGGAAATAAAACCAAAAGCACTCCCTTATAAATATTTAACAGTTAATAATGCAGCACTTACAGTATATGAAGTGGACAAGACTTCATGGTGTAATTATGAACTAAGCTTACATGCCAAATTCTCCCCAAGGTGTTATTATGTGCTGCGTTCTGCACATATTCATGTGTTTTTGTGTGTGTTCTGTCCATCAAAACAAGGCGGCCTCTGACTGACTTAAAATATCTTATTTCTGTCCAAATAGATCATCTCCCAGAGAAAATTCACCAAAGCCCTGCTTAAACAGGGCAACACAGTCGGGAAATCGTCTATTATGGTGAGCACTTTCCCAAATCCCAAATGTATCTGTTTGTTTTCTCTCATGCTATACTTATGCAAACATCCAGCAGTGCACAAGACCAGCAAATGGCCTTATGCAATCATTTCTCAGTCTAACCTTTAAAAGCTTTGCACTTTATATGATAGAGGTGCTTTGTATGATCAATGCCACTATTGAACCCAGGCAAACATAGAACAACTTCTCAATGTACACAACACCCTTCCAAAACAGTCAGATGTGGTATTGAATGTGAGCTATGAAACAAAAATTGCAGAAAATAGCCAGAGGAGCTTGTTAATGCACATTGACAGGAACGCAGCAGCAACAGTTGAACATGTAAAGCTCAGTGGGTGAGGAGAGCGAGATCTATAAAACAAATGTCAGTCTTCACGGTTAGCTTCTGATTCTGTTTTCTCTTCTGCTGAAAACAATTCATCACTCTCAATCTCTCCAGATCACCGCTGAGGAGCTAACAGGAAATAACGATTACGTCGAACTCTCGTTCAGTGCGAGGAAGCTGGATGATAAGGTAGGAAGACCTCCTGTGCACATGTTTATTCAGAATATAAAATGATCTTATGTACTGTAACAACAACCATCAGTTTTTGTCTGCAATTAGTTTTGGGCCTTATGATGCATTTTAATTGGTCAGATTATAAACATTTCTCTGAGGTCCACTACCATTCAAAAGTTTGGGGTCAGTAGGATTTCTTAAAAGAAATAAATGCTTTTATTCAGCAAGGATGCATTAAATTGACAGTAAATACATTTATAATATTACAAAAGATTTCTATTTCAAATCGATGCTGTTCTTTTGAACTTCCTATTCATCAAAGGATCCTTAAAAAATGCCGGTTTCTACAAAAATTACGCCAAACAACTGTTTTTAACATTGATAATAATAAGAAATCTTTTTTTTGAGCAGCAAATCAGCATATTAGAATGATTTCTGAAGGATCATGTGACATTGAAGACTGGAGTAATGATGCTAAAAATTCAGCTTTGCCATCACAAGTATTAATATAGAAAAATTTAACATTTTAACATAGAAAACAGTTATTTTCAGTTGTAATATTTCATATTACTTTATGTATTTTTTATCAAATAAATGTAGCCTTGATTAGCATTACCCAGGTGAAAAAGAAATATATTTAAATTGTGCTTTTTCAGACATACTATATTTAAATTATACTATACTAAGTGCATATTAAATGTATTATTTTGAAACAACTTTAAGTATATTAAGTGTATTTCAAGATATGTTTAAGTTGGATTTTAATCTATTTGTAATATATTTAATATATTGGCGTCAGGCTTGAACAAATTTATAAACACCTAGCTTATTACAATTAATGTATCATGTAATGAACAACAGCCTAATCAACCAAAGTAGCATAACCTTTTAAGTAAAACTGAACAACATATTAAACAACATATTTTAAATATCGCAATGCTTAATAATAGTTGACAAACGTTTGTACATTGTAAATGTTAAAAATGTTTTTCAAAATATTGTACTTTTCCAAATATTAAAATTATAAATACATAAATATTTAAAATATAACCATGTGTAGGCCTACTGCAATATAAAGTACATTAAAAACCCACTAAAAGTGTAATCATTTTGTTATGTTCTTACACAAAGTAGACATAAAATATACTTTAAGTAAGGGTAACATAAGTATGTTTTCTGTAAATACACTAAAAAGTCACTAAAATGTATGCTTGTGTTTAGTATATCCCTTAAAAGTGTAACTAAAAATATATTTATTACCATAGTATTTCTACTATACTTTTTAGAAATATACTAATAGTGTGCTTGTGTTTAGCATATTCCTTAAAAAGTGTAACTAAGCATATATTTATTACCAAAGTATTTCTAGTATACTTTTTATAAATACATTAAAAGTATGCTTCTGTTTAGCATATTTCTTAGAAGTATAACTAAGCATATATTTAATACAAAAGTACTTCTAGTATACTTTTTAGAAATATATTAAAATGCAATTCAATATATTTTTATTACACTTCAAATAAGCATGTTGGGAATGCAAATGTATTATAAACATACTACTTGAATTTCAAGTATATTTTTAATACATTTAATACTACGTCTTTTTCACCTGGGTAGAGACTTCTTAACATTGACAAATCTTACTGACCCCAAAAGTTTGAATGGTAGTGTATAATTAGATTTTTTTTTTAGCACCAAAAACACTTTTTTATACCATTTTCACCCTCTTTCTGATCCCTAGGATTAAACAGTCTGTTTTTTTTTTTTTGTGGCTGTGCCTTTAAAAAATAAGCATGTGAAATGTGAAAGCAGTTTTCTGTTCTCTTGCATTGGGACCTTGGTTTGCTGTCAAGTGTCAAATATAATTTAACTCTCCCATCCTTCAGTAACAGCCTCATGGCAAAGACTACATTACATTGTGAGAGGATCAACACAGGAATGTGAAATGAGCCACTGAAACTGTTGTGATCAGATAGAAATGATCAGGGATGCTGTTAAAAATAAACTTCAGCCTTGATGAATCCCCATACTCGGAAAAGTGGTCAGACAGTTGAGAAAGAAAAGAGAGAGAGTGATAGAGAGAGTACTATTCCTGTGGGAGACACAATCAACTCTTGTCAGCAGGGTAATTACATGGGACTAAAATTAATAAGAGGGATTAATACAAGCATAACAAATGATCCACGAGCGTCTCAGTTTCACACAGAGCGTCCCGTACTGCTGCTTGACAGGGCGTCAAAAGGTAGAACAGGAAAGCCTCCTTCAAATCACTTTTCATTTAAGAGTTATTTTCTTTTCCTAAATTATAATCCTTTAGTGAAAATCATATCCTTGGTATCTGAGTAATTAAAACTTTGATCAGAGACCCAGGCTGTCAAGATCCTCTGATAACTTTTGATAAGTTGCTGTTTCATTCTCACGTCTTAAACTTTGGCTGAATTGACTACAAGCCTTTAGGAGAACGTTACTGGAGAAGATGACATCCTTGAGCACTATGCTGTGAGTGGTCTGTTGTGAATCTTCTGTGCATGTGGCTCTTTTTATGTGTTAAAGTTGTTTGGAAAGATCTGAAAGTCCTGAAAATGGTTCCTGGTGATTCAGTGTTGTTTTGATCATTCAGCATACCTGCCGCTGTCCTCCGAGGAAAAGTGTTTTATAAGCATAATTAGCCCAGGAAAATCTGCAACTGTGGGAAACTTAAAGAAAGGCATACTAGTTTCTTATTGTCAGTGTTGCTGTTTAATATTTATACAATCTACAGTATTACAAGAGTGATAAAGGGAGATATATATGCATATTTCATGTTATGTATAGGCTTACTTCTCAAGTGCTGAGAATAGTTTAAATATCTTAAATTGATAAAAAAAAAGTGATCGTAAAGACTTATGTTGTTAGTTGAAAAAAGTATAGCAGGCTCTAAAAAATATTAAGTAGCCCAATTGATATTTATATCAATGAATGATATATATTGATTAGGGCTGCACGATAAATCACATGCGATATTTAATGCGCATCTTGTTAGTACAACGGCTTTGTGTAGTAAATGCTGCTCCATGTGAAAGCACACACGTGATGGAGATTTACCGCTGATTACAGAACCGGCTTTACTAACAAGATGCGCATTAAATATCGCATGCGATTTATCGTGCAGCCCTAATATTGATGATATTTTATGTAAGGAAAAATGTAATTTATTAGAAAAATCTAATAGCTACATGCTGCTTTTGACCAATCCGTATTCATGAGAGGCGTGTAATAATGTGTTTTAAATAGCAGTTTATATTTTGCAAAGGCAACATTACTGAATCTTTTTGGAGCTCCTTGGTGGTCAAAGAAAAGAAGAGATTTAGACCAAAAGAGTCTCTGTGTCTCTGAAAAATAATAAAAGAATTTAAAATAAACTAGGAGCGCATTTGATTGCATTTATCATGTAATTTTAGTGACTTGGTTATCTTGGCCTATATTGTATGGTGCTATTAGTGTAATATCTATCCCCCTCCGTATTTGGTCTTATCAGGTGAGAAGACCCCTAAGCAGACAAATAGGAGCAGAGTGGGATGGGGCAGCCGACAGTGGGAGCAGGAAGCTCCTTGAAAAAAAGTTACCAGCAAGGACACAATTCATTTTCAATAAGCTGCTTGAAAAAAAGTTACCAGCAAGGACACAATTCATTTTCAATTTGTTTTTGCTAAAAAACAATGTTTCATGTAGTGGCGATGCTGCTGGGCTACATGAATGCATATTAGATGCATCATGCATATTATGGAATGTACAAACTCTCCAGAATCACTTTGTTTGAGATGTTCAGCTGATCTCTGTGCTTGTTATTCCCTCAGGATTTTTTCAGCAAGTCGGATCCATTCTTAGAGATCTACAGGGTAAACGATGACAATACTCAGCAACTAGTGCACAGAACAGAGGTAAGACAACCATTTCTTTCTAAGATTTCTCTGTGATAGTGCTTAAGCGACACTGAATTGCTCTCTTCCCCTCTGCACACAGACGGTCATGAATAACCTCAACCCCATGTGGAAGACCTTCAAGACGTCCCTTAACTCACTCTGTAGTGGAGACCATGAAAGAATACTGAAGGTAAAATATGATGTCACTTGCTATTGCAGATGAAAGTGTATTTGACTTACACTAACAAATAAATACATGGATCAATTTTAATTTAGTTTTACATTTACATTAGCATTTGCAATTCATGTTCCTGGCAGACGGCAGCTTATAAGAAGCTTAGAAGTACATGCATTGCGCTTGTAATTTGATGTAGGTGCTCTTGGGTAAAAATTGTCTGCTTATTACCCGTCAATAATTCTACTAAAATTTGACTGAAAGGCTCTTCAGCACTTTGGGAAAAGATGTTTTATTATTGAATTAATGCAGATGTTAATTTCAATGTTCAGATTTCCAGTGCATTTTGATGCAGTTAGTGTATGAGTGAGATACTGTTGCATAAGTCTACTTTTGGATGGATAGATAGATAGATAGATAGATAGATAGAATAGAATTATTGCTTTTTGATTTTTTGCATATGAGTATTTCTGTCCATGAGGCCAAATAATGGATTTATTTTTATATTATTATTTAAGCTGTTCTCAACCTAGCCTTGACCATTTTACTGGTTTAACTTGGTGAAGTTGCATTTATACGCTGACAGGTGGCCAGTGCTGATTTTCATACTGTTTAGAAATTCAATGAGTGTTGCTGGACCACCATGTGTTGAGATCAGATCTGGCAGGAGCTCTGATCAGTCACATGGCCTGGTTACACTGGCTCAGGACTATTAGGCTTGGTGAGCATGTGTTTCAGGAAGGATTCACTAGGAATTACCATGTATTCCACTTAAATATGTGCATTTCCTAATTCACCTCCCTCTTTCCTCTTTCTGGCCTTCTCTTGCTTCATTTATTCGTTCGTCATTCATCAAAGTCTGCTTGGGAAAGGAAATTACTCAGGGAAAGTTTGACACAAATGTGCTCAAGCAGACACATTTAATATTAAAAGTTGCAGTTTCCCAGAAGAATCTAAATTAAAGTACCTCCTGTTAAATTATTATAATCATGATAATAAAGATGCCTTTCACTGCACTGCAGTAATGAATGAATGAATGAATGTAATTTTATGTAAATTTTGATAGGAATTAAGCAGTAATGATTTTTTAAAATAATTTGTCTGCATCTTACATTACATACATTTTATTATGATTCTGTTTTTTGTATTGTTTTTAATATATATATTCAAAATTTTACATAGACTTTGCAGTATCTGCAAAATGTCAATTATTTTACCAAAATAAGAGGGATCATACAAAATGCATGTTATTTTTTTATTTAGTACTGACCTGAATAAGATATTTCACATAACAGACCATATAGTCCATATAAAATAAGTTAAATTATCTATCTATCTATCATTCAAGAAACATTTCTTATTATCATGGCGGTTAAAAACAGTTGTGCTGCTTAGTTTTTTTTTGTGTAAACCGTGATATATATTTTTTAAGATTCTTTAATAGAATGTTCAAAAGAACAGAATTTTTTTTAATAGATTTTTTTGTAACAATTTAAATCTCTTTATTGTCACTTGTGGTAGTGTACATCTTTAAAGCGCAGTGTTACACTGGAGTGATGGGGTCTGTGTACTCCATAAACTATCCATTTAACAGTAAGATGCTTTGGGCCCCCTGTAAACATTTCTTAAGGGCACCTGTGTGCCCCTTTTCCTGCTTGTAGTGCATCAGCATATGGCTGCATGTGGCCTCCCTTCTGCCCACTCATGACTGAACAGAACTCAGACCTTATTAAAGTGAAAGGCTCAGCCTCATTTAGTACCAGCCGTCCTCCATGCCATCTGCAGAATCACTCACGGTAGTTCAGCTCACAGCTGGAGCTCACCCCATTCCCAGACCCGACCTTTAGGAGAGAACGCTGCTGTCACCCCACTCAGAGCAAAGGCGATCAGTGTGGGAAACGTGTCTTCCTTTTAAAACCTCCGCTGAACACTTAATGGGTGCCGTGATAGTGCCATGTGGTTAACTCATAATGACTGTGATTGATTGGATCCTGCCGGTATTTGACAGGCCTTATCATGACTCCACTGAAACATATTTGTTGTGGGCTAATGAAATATTAAGTGTTATGATTTCATTTTTCTTGTTGTGTACACTGACATCTCATTCTCTATCAAACAGAGTTCAAATGATGAACTAGACACTTTCAGACAGACTCTCTCATGAACATTAAACTCTCAATCTTTCTGCAGAATGCTTAACATGGCTGTTGGTACATCAGTTGTTTGGTTCTTAGTGCAGTCCAGAGAACCAATATACCTGAACATAAAATCTTATAACAGTATATTGCTTGCTGTAACCTGAATGGTTGTCCTTTATATGTAATTTTCTTAACAAGCTAACATATATACAGCATATATATACAGTATATTACCGTTCAAAAATTCAGTCGGTAAGATTTTTTATTTTTTTTGGAAAGCACAACTGTTCTCAACATTGATAATAATAATTAATCAGCATTTAATCAGCATATTAGAATGATTTTTGAAGTATCATGTGACACTGAAGACTGATGTGATGGCTATATATATATATATATATATATATATATATATTAGACTGAAAATACTTTCAATACTACTTTCCAAACAGGGCTTTTAATTTTTTTTTAACAGGTTTCTCTCAGAATATCTTTTAACACTTAGTATTCCAAAGGTTGAACAAACAGATAGTTCTGCCCCCATCTAATGGCATTAATTGAGCCGGTGTTGCTGTTTCATGCTGGTGGAATGGCTACAAATTGCTTGGTAATAGTTGGCATATGTTGTGATACAAGAAAATATAATAACATTAAAGCTTTAAATTGTGCTTGTCCAACTCATTTCCGTCTTGCATCATAAAAGTATGAAAATGTGGTAACAGAATTGCTCAGACTGAATGAAAATCACCCACACTATGTCCTGGTCTCATCTTTTACAGCAACATTATATAAGTCAACCCCCTGTTGTCCTGAATATTGCAGAAAACCATCAAACTTTAATTAATTTGTAATGTCACTTTATGTTTAATGCATGAATGCATGGGGCACAGTGATGACGAGTCTGCTCCAGGTCTTTATGCTGTGTGTTCGGGTTCCAGACATTTATAGTGTTCAGTGTTCTCTGTGGACTGTATGTACAGTAGTTGAGTTGGTTCAACAAGAGTAGATGGTGTGCACATCCAGCAGAATATCTTTTGTTTCTGCTCCAGAGGAATGCTGAGAAAATAGTATCCAAACGAGATGTCTGTAGAGGAAACAAATATATGTGAGGGGGATGGGGAGTATGAGAAGAGATCAAAAGAGATGAAAAAAGTGAAAGAAGCAAGAGTTAAATCATGCATACCACTGGACCAACACATACCCTATAGGTTTTAGTGACATTTGCTTTAGATGCCTTATTAATATTAGCCCGTTGTGTTCTTCCGTTAACATTCAGTGTATAGTGTGGGACTGGGACTCGAACGGAAAGCATGATTTCATAGGGGAGTTTCAAGCTACATTCAAAGAGATGCGATCAGCGATGGATGGAAGACAGGTAACAGTTTTAAACATGTTTCAATTATTTATTTTTTAATTGGATTTTTTTTAATCCAATTGACTTTACTTGAAACAGCTCTGTGAGATATTTAGAGCAGGATAAGCTACTGATGAGTAGGAACTAGTTTGATTTAAAGAGTAATCAGCAAATGTGAAAGATGAAAGAGGAATGAGGTTATATGAGGAGATCTTCATGTGGGTCACAGATATTTTAGTTTTTCTTTTTTTTTTTTTATTAACAGTGCAAAACATACAGCATACGGTGAACACAAAACACAAAAACAGCAATAGAACAGCAATGATAATAACAGCAATGAAAATTAACAGTGATGACCATCTGACAATAATAGTAGTAGTATTCAAGTAGTACTAGCATGCATAATAATAATAATAATAATAATAATACTAAAGATGGTGATGCTAATAATACCTTGTGATGACGGCAACAGTAATATCAATAATAATAAAAGTAATGATAATAATAATAATAATGTAATAACAATCGTAATAATAATAATGTAATAATGACACATACCCAACACAATATTTTAGTTTTTCTAAACTTTAACAGATTCTGTAGAGAATTACCTCCAGTATCCCTGAACCGAACTGCTGGATTTTTCTCACTTATTCTAATAATCTAAAAAGATAGATAGATGTATAGATAGATAGATAGATAGATAGATTCAGATTGATAGATAGATTCAGATTGATAGATTCAAATTTATTCAATGATTGTTTGAGTTATTGATTCTTTGATTCATTGATTATGAAACCAAATTCATTTAAGAAGGACATGATGACAAAAAACATAACTTAAAAATGACTGTCTGGAAAAGAACAATGTGCTCTAATGTAATTATAAGTGGAATAATTCCTTAATTAGAATCATTTAATTTAATGACACAACTGATGGAATGACGTTGAAATGCTGTTTTGTAATGTCTGTAAAGCAGTGTGTTGCTGTGCACTTTAAACATCAGGCAAGCACACAAAAAGCATCACATCAGAGTTCGTAACCCTGCACCTGCTAGATCTCTAAGTGTCCATTAAGTCATTCCGCACTTCTGTAATTTGGATATTGCATTTCAGGACCACTATGCTGTTTACAAACTGGAAGCAAACTGGATAATTGCATTTTTTATTGTCAAAAAAAATTCACACAAAATGACCACATCCTCCTTAATAATCGATAATGAGGATGTTGTTCTGTGTAAGGTTTTAAAGAGTTTTCAGTCCCCATTAAATAGTCTACAATGTGCAACTTGCTCTAAAAATGGATCCAGTGATTAACCATTAGCCAACAACTCTTTCTGATTTTGAAAACAATAAGTCATTGTCTTTTAAGCTGTCAGTTAATTGTAACTCTGCTAAAATGCACAGCTACAGCTGGATGACACCTCGTTCTCTTGTGAAGTCCCGAACGCTTTGGGTTTATATCTCAATACCGCAGGCATCGGTACCAGACTTTTTTAGAACATCGCTTCCAGGCTCGACATCATTCCTCATTATTATGACTGAAATTGTTGTTTTCTGAGTCTATTGTCTACTGGAACACTTATTTTTGGCCTTCACTGCTTCAATGGGAAGCGATTATGCACCATCTCACACATTCTAATGAAGCTATTATATTTTCCAGGACTTCTTGATCGCCCACTCCAACCAGTACTGATGGAAAGCTAATGGTTTGTTTTTATGCTTTTGAAACAATGACAGGTCCAGTGGGAATGCATAAACCCCAAATATAAAGTCAAGAAGAAGAATTACAAGAACTCTGGGATTGTCATTCTGAATCAGTGCAAGGTAATATTTTTTCATAATAAAATGTTTCTCTCTAGAGGACCTTGTCTCCTCCCCGTAGGCCTTGTATTTCAAAAAGCGACAGTGTCATGCTGTCAGCAGAGGCGTTGATGGTTACAGTAGATGGAGGTGGGAACTTCACACAGCTAGAAGTCATTCCATCCGGCTAAAATGTGAGATCCCAGCTCTGCAAATGGCCACTGAATTTGATCATAATTGACATAAATTAGAAGTGATGAGAAGGAGATAGCAACATGAAAGTGCTTGAATTCGTGATAACCTGCCCTTTTGTATCCACAGATAATTAAGATGCATTCCTTTCTGGACTACATCATGGGTGGTTGCCAAATACAGTTTACAGTAAGTCCAGGCAGATACAACTCATGCGTTCTAAGTCAATGGAGTTCATTTATCTGTGTTTATATCTATAAAACTAATCATCCATTATCATTTGTTTTCTCTGACATTAGCATAGCCGCCAGTTTTGTTTAATGAATTATGTTATTATTAGTCAGAACACTCATGATTTATTATTCATTACCATGTACATACTAATGGGAACAGGAAAACAAAATTATCATTCTAAATGTTTATTTTTTTGCATAATTTATAAAGTAATAATTGTCTCACCTGCTTACAGCACTGTTAATTTCGCATGCCACTTTTGTGTGCACCGTAGTGTTTCATTGCTTTTATTTTCTGTCACAATAAGTTCTTCCTGAGTTGTTGTCATGTACAGTCTCCTGAAAGGTTTTTAGAATTAGTTTCAATTCAGTTGACCTCATGTTTGTTTTATGAATTTATATAACATGCCGTTTTAATGAGTGTTGATTTTTCTCTAGAAAGCAAACTGGTAGACCTGCGATTTTTACAAACCTTTTCTGCTTAAAAAGAAAATGGTATTGCTAAGGGAGAGGGATCTTACTTTCAAGGATTTTATCAATTAAATGTTGGTACATGCATTCTAGATGAATGCTATAAAATCCATTAGGGTTATTAATGACTAATTTGATTAAAATACATACATACTGTATGTAGTTAAACTTAATGAATGAATAAAACATAAGTTTCAGCAAACTTATGGGTTGGTAATGGCAACTATTTCAAGATGTTGGGTATAAACTTCCCCCTGATTTGGAGTGTTACATTGTCCAAAATTTGTATTTTAATTGTTGTCTTAAAAGGGTTTGAGAACCACTACTTACGTTTTGTGATCATGAGAAAAAAAGTCAGTCACGTATGTCCATACTATTGACTTTTAGTGCATGACTTTATATATTGGGAATATTGTGTTAAGAAGTCTGTCATAACTATACAAGCCAGATATATTTGATCTAAATACATAGTCCCACACCTACTTAAACGCATGCATTTTACAGCTCTATACAATCTGTTTACTCTCTGTCAATGCCGGTAGAAGACAGCACTCTGTAGAGATTCTCCACATGGTGTATACATTTTGAGTAATTAGCATCAAAGCACTACTTTGATTGCTGCTTGTCTTTTCAGGTAGCGATTGATTTCACAGCCTCTAATGGGGATCCTAGAAACAGTTGTTCGTTACACTACATCCACCCCTACCAGCCTAACGAGTATCTGAAAGCTTTAGTCGCAGTGGGGGAGATTTGCCAAGACTATGACAGGTGAGCAGGCTGAACAGCCAATCAAATCCCAACTTCAGCTCTCTCGGTTCTCACCAGTTCTCTCTTTCATACACCAGTTGTTTAGGTTCACACATATGCAAGTCATTTCTCTTTCTCAGAATGTGCAGTGTTTTGACAGTATAGTGAGTAAAGTAGAGTCCCAACATTGGGATTTTATTTTTTTATGTAATATGTAGGCTGTCTAAATAATAAAATCATAAAAATGTGATGTGAATGAAACAAGGGGTCAAGGTTTGGCTGGTTAGCATGGTTCTAAAACCTTGTAGATGTGGATGCATCATTCACCATTGATGGCCATTCAAAAGTAGCCATGTATTCTAACCAAAGAAAAATTTTTACAAGAAAAAAATATAAATATTTCATATGAATGAAATATGATATTTTACCCACAGTGAAATTATTATTATTATTTTTTTATACCGAAAGCCCTGGAGCACAGAGAGCAATATGCAGGTCATACATTGCTTTATACATGATGTTATGGTGCCTTGGAAGCCGGATTGAGACTAGTTTGCTTAGGAGGTACCTTAATACAAAAACACCGTCTGTTAAGTCAGTGACTGATTTGCTGCCGTAGGCACACAGTTAATATGAAGAAATGTGATGTCCTGAACTTCAGAGATTAAACAGGGAAAATAGTTCTTGTGACATAACCAAGATGCATCACAGAAAACTTAATTTACAATGCGTTTCACTTCAAACAGTAAATAGAGAGTGGTTAAATTGGAATTTATGAATAAATAAATAAAACGTTGTTTTAGTTTGATCCCAATTTACATAGCTGCTCTATTTTGCTGTAAAAACATAAAAAAGACTAGGCCTGTTTTAATTAAAGATATGTTAAAGGTGGGAGTTACAATTGGACAGACAGTCTGTTATTTTCAAATCTTATTTTATTAGACCTATGGCCTCTGCATTTCAACATTTGGTGATTCTTTAGAAACCCAGAAGCAGCTTTTGGATAACATGCTTAATCCTAGCGTTTTTTGACCACTGTAGCTGAGCTGTTACTTCAGCAGTCTGAAAGGTCATTCAAAAGCTAATTTCCAGCACAGTGTCGAGCTCCGGCATCACTCCAGAACGAGATGAATGCATATCCATCAGGACGTTTGGTTGGGATGAAATCTGAAATCACAGTGCTTACTGATTTGGCAGGCACTAACAATAACAATTATGCAAATCTGTGTCCATTACAAATGAGCAGTGATGAGGGGCCATTGAGACAGGAAAGCATGATGGGAAATTTGGTAAGTAATCCCCAAGATCCTCAATGCATGCCAGCTCTAATCTCCTGTCCATTTTCGTTTCCGTGCAGTGACAAAATGTTCCCAGCGTTTGGCTTTGGTGCTCGGATACCTCCGGACTTCAAGGTAACTTCTTTAGCATTTATAGTGATGGGGGTGCAATGGGAATTTTTCATTAATGGGATGAAGAGTGAAAGATGCTTCTAATTAGGCTACCGATGGAGTGAACTGATATCGGCAGGTTCATTTCCCTCTGACAGATAATGTGCCTTTGTGCTGAGCTGAGAGTGTTTTGTATTCATCTTAGGCTTAAGCCCTCACTCCAGACTTATTGTTAAAATCTCTTAAAAATCTTAAAACATTAGTATTGAAAATTGTGTGTTTATTTACAATGTGAAGAGAAAGGCCTTGAATCCCCCTGAAGGGGTTATTGACCAGCGATATTGACCAGCTGAATGTATATTATCCTGCTTATTTCAAGACTACTGACTTCACATAAATAAATAAACGTGCATTAAATATTGATTTACGTTTGATTTATTTATCATGTGAGAAGATAGAGATAGCAAAGTGGATAGCAAAGATATGAAACTAGCACAGCTATGTAAGAAATCAGGTGCCTGGGACAATTATACAATTTAGCAGTCAATATATACAAATATTTGACTAACTGACCAATTATAATCAACATAGCACGATTGCAAGACTGAACAAGAATTCAGTGCACAGGATGTTGAGTCATTTTAGACACAATATTGCCATTTGATGTCTATTATTTTTTTTCACCAACCAAAATAGTTCCAAGCAAGGTCAACACTTGGATAAACACTTGGGTCTCTGAGCAATGCACTGTGGGAATGAATGAACAAATCATTCTTTTGAACCGGTTCTATTCAGTAAATAGATTGAACCAGTTCATCCAATAAGACTGAATCATTTAAAACTGTTCACATCTGGAATCAGCAGTCAGTCGATGAATGGAGTGCTCTCTCAATTGTGTTCAATATTTAGACTAAATGGAGTAATGTGGTCATAAAACCATAATTTTTTTGCAATGAATCGTTTTGGATAAACAGTTCTTGCAATGGTTCTGGAGTCAACATTACACTACACTGATCACAGCAGTTCTTAAGTCAACAGTACCAATCAAAATCGAATGTAAGACTGATGACAATAAACATAATATAAATTACTAGAAAATGTGTCTATATATGGCTTTAATAATGTGTTTGATTGAAGCTGGGATGTCAGAATTATGTGATGACGTAAAAAGAACTGGAGAACCTTTTTTTTAACTGTTTCACTGAAAGTAACAGGCTAAAAGAATTACTTTGCAGAAATTTATTTGGACTTCCCATCACATGGATATTCTCACCCGAATGACTTGGCATTTAAATGAATCGGTTGAGTGAATAATTCAGTGACTTATAAAGGCAGTCATGTGTTTAGCTCCTGAATGAAACTGTGTTTTTGAATTATTTGAGTGATTAATGACTCGCTTATAAAGCTGTGATTTGTCATCACCTACTGGTGTAACCTGCAGAAATGTCACTGAAAAATCCTAACCAGACAGTGAAAAGTCCCTGCTGTTGGACTATATCAAAACACTTGGAAAGCTGCTCAGCCAATCAAATTCAGAGAACTAACAACTGCATAATATATGGTATGAATTATTTTCAAAGAGTATTTTATTGATGCCACAGATAGCCTAAGAAGGTTATGTTTCTTTTTTCTTTCTTTTCCCCTCAGGTTTCACATGATTTTGCAGTAAACTTCAACGAGGACAACCCAGAATGTGCAGGTATGATAGAGCATTTTCCCCAATATTTTATCTATTCCAGATCTTAATTTATCTCCTTAATGCAGATGCATTAACTACCCCGTGTAACCTTTGCCCACTGGGACTGAACTACTTAAAGCCTCAACATAACACTGGCAATGTCAAACAGCCCTTCAGTATAGTGTTGTCCCCGCACACAAAGGAGATCAATATATGCATAGATAAATTACAGAGTTACTCTATTGACAAAGGTGGACACATTAATGTTTAATGCTGCTATAAAATATATGGCCTAAGGGGAATGTCTGAAGGAGGGAGGCCTGGTTGATGTCACACCCTCCCCTTCCCCAATAATAAGTCTCTCTGGACCAAGACAGCAGGTAAAAATGACTGTCAGCACAAAAACAGATGTTTTAAGGCTAGGTGAAATCATAGTGGTGCCTTGCATTAGACCAGAACTTCTTGTACAGAGTTTAATTTTGTAGGATACATGTTTACATATTTTATTGCAATTTGTTACCACTCTGTTTTATTTTTAACCACCCTGTGCTGCAAAAGCAAAGTTGCTTTTAGACCATAATCTCTTGGTAGGCTGCTATCAGAGAGTAAAGACGAAAATATAAGAACAATGAATACTTGAAATACAGAAACAGATGGGAAAGTAAAGTAATATAAATGATAATTCTGTCATTGTGAGAAAGCCTCTTGTCAAGTCATCTAACATCTATCCATTCAAATGTAACCCAACTCTCTTTGGGATGGTGTTGCCTTGGAAGTCAAGTCAGAAGTTGCAAATGATTGGATTTTGTATTTAGTTTGCTCTCAGTTTGTGTTTGGTACTTCGCTTTCCTATCATCCCTGTCTTCAGCCATGAGCAGGATAAATTGATCATCGCTCTAGTGTATAGGTGTCACTTGATTTCCCTTGCTATTTCTGTTACACCTCTATCAGCGCAGACACACCAGGGTGGCACCCAGAATGGGCACAGACCACTCAGCTTTTGATCAAGCAGCCAGGCCTGTCTCTCCCAGGAATAGCAAGTGGCTCGCAGCCCACCAGGACACATGCCAGCCGATCTACCCCAAGCAGAGAGCACACCTTTCCACCCTGGTATAGTCTGGAAAATCCAGCATGACAGTATTGTGGTTCCAACACACCTGGACGAGACACACAGTGCGCTTAAATAGCGTGAACGATATTGGTGTGAAATGATCAGTAATTTTTACTTTCTAAATATTGACAACCCGTTGTAGACAAATCGTGGTGAGGTGTCTAGTGAGCACAGTTGTTTGCTTTCCGTGAAAGAAACCAATTTGCAGTCTTCTCACTCTTCCAAAGTCACTCCTTTTAAAAGTTTTGCTCAACTGCAAAACTCGACCTTTGAGTAGTGTGGTGTAATCATCTTGCTACAATCAAGAAGTCAAGGTTTGATTGGTTAGCACTATCCTGCTGGTGTTGTGACGAACCATTCTGCTGCCATACTAAACTTTGCCCGTCATGGCCTTTCAAAAGTAGTGAATTCTGGCAAAAACTTTTTCTAAGAAACGTGTGTGTGTATATATATATAAATGCATCTCCACTCGCATTTAAAAGTTTTGGGTCAGTACATCTTATGCTTATCAAGGCTTCATTTATTTGATCAAAATAGAGCAAAAAACAATAATATTGTGAAATACATTTACAAATTAAAATAATGTTTTCTGTTGTAATATATTTTAAAATGTAATTTATTTCTACGATGGCAAATGATCCCAGTCTTAGTGTCACGTGATCCTTCAGAAATCATTCTAATATGCTGACTTGCTGCTCAAGAAACATTTCTTATTCTCATGACAGTTAAAACAGTTGTGCTGCTTAATATTTTGTGGAAACTGTAATACATTTTGTTCAGGAATCTTTGATGAATAAAAAGTTCAAAAGAACAGCATTTATTTGAAATAGAAATGTTTATTTATAATATAAATATTTTTCTCTGAGGCGTTGTGGGACGGTTCACATCTCAATGACAGTCAATGAATCCTAGGTGGAACTCCCAATGTGATATCACAACTAACAACGTTTACAGATTTCTATTTGCGGAAGGTGATGAATTTTCATTCATAGTGCTAACATCACAGGCAGACACAAGGGCACATGGTGAGACATTCTCACAGCAGCAGTGTGAACTGGCCAAATGTGACTGATGATGCATGAAGACTTGAAGACCGTAATGTTATGATGAAAAGACATCAGCAGTAGGTTAATTCAAGCTTTTTAATGTCATCAGCATGACTTATCCTTTAAAGAGACAGTGCAGTATGTCTGTCAGAGTTGAAGAGTCTATTAAGGTCCAGAGTTTCTCTTTGATTCCTCTTTGCGGGGAAGCCACTGAAGCGATTACATCCATTGACCTCCGCTTTGAAAGGCTTCTCATCTTAATTCTGCTTCCACACAGCATGGCATGCTTTCACCTTTGAATCTGTTTGTGCGTGTTCAAGCTCACAGGTGTTAATTAAATGAAACAGTTGGAGACGTGGTGAGGAGAGACAGGCTGACCTTAAGATTCATGCTCAGCGAGTCAGTAAACAGAATTACTGCTTCATTGCAGAGATTGAGCCTTTACTGACACTCATTCCAGTCCTTTTTAGTTTACATACCCCATGCAGAATCTCTCCCAAACAGCAACATAGTGTTGGCCCAGATCCGGCCCACATCTCGCCCGCATGAAATCCATGCGGGTCGGATCTGGGCCGACACTTTTTGCTGTCTGGGTTAAGCATTAAAAAAAGAAAAATACATGAAATAAATCAAATTAATGATTAAGTATAAGAGATAAAATGATTTTAGTATTATTTTAGTATCATTGATATGCTATTATTGTTTTGTTAACATTTTGAATGAGTTTTATTTTTAAAAATAAGTAATTTTGTTGTGTCATTTTTAACAGTTTATCAGTCATTTTTAATTTTAGTTTATTTAGTACTTGCACTTAAAATGATAAATGTTGCTTTGGCATCTGAAATAAAATAAATAAGTTTAAGTTTGTTTTTAAATGATTTTAGGTTACTTTAGTTCTTCAACTTAAACTAAACGAAAATGAGAAATGTTGCCTTGGCAACTATCTGAAATGAAATAATTTATAAAAGTTTTATTTATATTTTGTTTTATTTAAAGTAATGAACAAGTTTTTTCGGGTTTTTATTATTATTATTTTTTTATGATTGTAGTTTTAGTTGTTAATAATGACCCTGGTATTTTATTAGTGAGTAGTCTATACCTTCAAACAGCTCCAGATCTACCTTTTTAAACCTTGCAGGTATCCAGGGTGTAGTAGAGGCCTACCAGAATTGCCTTCCTAAGATCCAGCTGTACGGTCCCACAAACATTGCCCCTATCATCCAGAAAGTGGCCAACTTTGCCTCAGAGGAAATGCACACCAAAGAGGCCATGGTGAGTGTGTTTCTATTCCATCACTCTTCATCTCTAAAGTTCCTCTCGTTCTAAAGTTTCTCTTTTCTTGCCTCGATGCAGCAATACTTCATCCTGCTCATCCTGACGGATGGTGTGATCACAGATATGGCAGACACTAGAGAGGCCATCGTCCACGCCTCTCACCTGCCCATGTCTGTCATCATCGTGGGAGTTGGAAACGCAGATTTCACTGACATGGAGATGCTGGACGGTGATGACGGAATCCTTCGTTCGCCTAAAGGGGAACCAGTGTTGCGTGACATCGTACAGTTTGTGCCGTTCCGTAACTTCAAACATGTGAGTTTACACGGTCACATTATAAATACAAAATAGACCCTGATAAAAAAAGCAATAAACAAATGGATAAAATGACTGAATGAATAAATGAATATGGTCCAAATTATGGTACTTATTGGTAGGGATGCACCGATCCGATATTCATATTGGGTATCGGATCCGATAATACCATTTTTCTCGGATCGGGTATCGGTCAGAGAGGGCCGATCCAAATCCGAGATTTAAATTTTTTTTTTTTCCCGATTGTGCAAATTACATACATAGGCCTATATTTTTTCATATTTATTGTTTATTTTATTTTTCTTTATAATGAAGTAGTCTGTATCTAGTAGATTGTGAAAGAATGATTATCAGTTTCACACACAGAGATATATAAATTCTAAATGTATTTAAATGGGGGAAAAAAAGCTTCACTGGTATCGGATCGGTATCGCCAATACCGAACCCTAGGTATCGGAATCGGAATCGGTATCGGAGGCGAAAAAGGCGGATCGGAGCATCCCTACTTATTGGGTGTCACATTGTAAAGATTAAAAAAAAAGACTGCAAAATTATTACATTTTTTGACTTTAGTTGTTGGACACATTCGAGAAGATAAAGTATTATTTAAATAGTATTGTAGTATTTATTAATATTTTGAATGAGTTTTATATATATATATTTTTTTTTTAAAGTTTAGGTTTTGGTAATTTTGTCACTTTTGTTAGTTTTATTTTTTAAATATTTCAGTTTAGCTTTAATTTGATTTCAGTTTGACGTACTTATTGCAGCTAATTGAAACTAATTGAAAAAGTACGTTAACGTTTTCAATTAGTTGCAGCTTTTCTCATTTTGATTTAAGTTTTTATGTCTCAGCTAATATTTACATTTTATTTTATTTCAGTTAGTTAAATATATTTGTAATAGTTTTAGTTAACAATAACAACACTGATACTGACATTTTAATGTCAAATTAATTTTCCATATCTAATCATTTTCACAGCAAAATATGTGTGCTTCTATTGCTTTATAAAAAGAAAAGTCATTGGACGCTGAAGTCAATAAAAGGTCCAGTATGGTGGTGATGTCGTTCAGAATGGTTGGTTTGAATTATAATTTATGGCCAGAAACAAGGTTGAAATCATGGGCACAACGTATGTTTATCATGTCTATTAAGTTGTAAGTTTCAGAGCCTCATAGATCTTTATATAACCCTAACACAGCTCCCTTTAAAAAGTTAAAATGATACATGCAGCTGAACTGTAGATCATGACCTTTAATCAATGCATGGCTATGCAGTGGTTTTCATTCAGCATCTTTATAATGTCTGAAGTACCTCTAATGAGAATCTCTCCTGGTTAATTACTCGCTTCTTCCTCCGCGCTCCCCGTCTCACATTTCCCACCCGGACTCGGAGCAATCTAATAACCTTTAGCTTGACTGCTCCATTAATTACCACATCTACTGCTGGTCCCTGGTGGAAAACAAACCACAGAATGCAGAGTGGGTTAACTAGAGTGTGACAAACCCCACAATTTTTGCTGTTAATAGAAGGTTGTGTTTTCAATAAAGAGCCGAGAGGTTGTCTGAGGAAGGTTCTTGATTCTGAAAATTACAGTTCAGTCGTTTGAGGTCTTTTTTTTTCTGAAATAAATTAATACTTTTATTAAGCAAAGATTAAATTGATCAAACATGACAGTAAAAACATTTATACTGTTATATAAAAATTATATTTAAAATAAATGCTGTTCTTTTGAACATTCTATTCATCGAAGAATCTGGAAAAAAATTGCATTTCCTCAAAAATATTAAGCAGCACAACTGTTTTCAACATTGATAATAATAAGAAATGTTTCTTGAGCACCAAATCAGCATATTAGATCATGTGGGATCATGTGACACTGAAGAGTGGAGTAATGATGCTGAAAATTCAGCTTTGCATCACAGGAATAAATTACCCTCGAAAATATATGAAAATAGAAAACACTAATTTTAAACTGAAAAAAATTAAATCTGTTTTTACTATACTATAAACAAGGTCAAGACCTCTGAGATGGAACAGGCTTAAATGCTAATTTTGAGGGGCAGAGACAGATTTTTAATGCATTTAAAACTAGCTATCAGATTACTTTTGTTAGATATAGTTTATCTAATAGATCTAGTAGCAAACATATGAAAACATGATATTTGAACATTTAACTATTTTTTATGAAGTGCATTTAATTTAGTCAGTGATTTACATACTATTATTTTATTTATTAATATTTTAAATGAGCTTTTATTTGTATATATTTCTTAATTTTATTTTTAGTTTTATAGCTTATTTTTATTTTTGTATTTTTTTGTTTTTGTGATTTAAAAAAAAAAATCTATTTATGTTTAATTTTTTTATTTCAGTTTTAGTCATAGTATTTTTAGTACCTAAACTTATATCAATATTAAACTGTTTATACAAGTCAACATGTAGAACGCATAATGAATAAATCTATACATTTGGCATGGCATGTCTCTAAATGTGACAGTGTCCATATCAGCCCAAGTGACGGTTTATTGGGATCCTCTTGGGAAATGTGCCAAGACTTGATTCTTTCTAGACAAGTACTTTATTGATAGCCCCTGACAAACAAAACCATCTCAGCTGTGTCTCCTTATCTGAGAATCTCCTCTCCTCCATCTAATGGCGCTTTTCCACTGCGTGGTACGACTCGGCTCGGTACATCCGTCATCAGCAGGGTTTACACGTCACGTTTTGGTAACGGTACGGTTCGCTTGGAACCCCAACCGAAGTGGTACTAAAAAAAGTACCAGGTACCAGGTACTGTACCCAGTGGAAAACCCCCCAAAAGTGAACCGTACCGAGCCGTACCGTGCCGTACCATGCAGTGGAAAAGCGCCATAATTGGCCAGCGGGAGTTGTAAGGGTTTGATGTGGCTATCCTCTGATTTCCTCTCAGCTCCTCGAGGCAACTTTGAGTCACATGAGTCACTTTTGCACAAGTTTTAGGATGCTTTTCATCACCGTGCATGTGGGTTTCAGCAAGTACAGTATCTTCACACATCATTAGCGCAGGAATGGCAAACTGGACCAGATGGCGAAATGGATAAATGGCCCTGCAAATGTTTGATTCACTGTTTGTTTCTGTCCTTCTTCTACTACTTCTCAGGCCTCTCCTGCTGCTTTGGCAAAAACTGTCTTAGCTGAAGTCCCAAACCAGGTGGTGGACTATTACAACAGCAAGGGGATCAAGCCCAAGTGCCCCAGCGAGTATGAGTCTTCTAGGACGTTTGGCCACTGAAGCGCCGAGCTATTGCTCATTACAAAAACTAGCACGTTTCTGTGAATTTGAAACCTAATCGGTTCTACTTTTTGTTTGCATGCGTAGCCTGTGAGGCTTGCATAGGTGTTGCAATGCTACCGTTCCTATTATGTACATGTATACATGTACTGACTTACAACTATGAAGAAAGCAAAAACTGATGTAAGCATGATGACTGGGATTATCTGAAGAATAGGATTATCTGTCGTTTTCTTTTATATAAAGGTTTATTGAGATTTTGCTAAATTTCGTAACGTTCTTACATTGTAAAGCATTTTGGATCTTAGAGAATGAATAGCTATTTGAATTCGATTATCTGTGGACATTCAGGCTTTCTTTTTCTGTTCTTTTTTTTCCGCAGATGCAGGGCCAGATGCATGATTGTATTTTGCATGTTAATAATAATCCAGCCTCGTTTTTCTACCTGTTCCTTTTGGGGCCTGTTATATGATTTTATGTGAAGCTGCTCTTCTGAAACCGGTCCACAAATAAAGATTTAGAATGAAGTATTTTTTGGTAGTTTTAAGTGATGATGTAACAAATTGTTTGAAAATAAAGTTTGTGTTATGAATGATGCAGTTTTTTGTGTGTGGATTTTGAAGCCACTAAACAAGTTGTTAACTGATGTTTTGATAATACTAAAGAAACAGCTCACCCAAAAATTATTTACCTTTAATTTACCTTATATATATATATTTACAAAAGATGAAATCCAACTATTAGTTTATAATGAAAAAGAACGATGCCACTAATATACACAATATTCATCATTTTTCCTTTTATATTCTCAACCATAAATCTGAAATTAGTGCACAAGAGTGTAGGATATTGGCAACAACAACACTTACTACACACTGTTGAAACAGCACTTTATAATTTGGCCTGTATTTTACAAGTGATACACTTTCTAATGAGACTTCATTTTGTTTTTGCAGTAGGCAGTTCTTCAGTTCCAGGCTCTCAAAGCTGACAAACGTACTTTAGAAACTGCTAGACATGCTCATTATAGGCAATGTCAGGGGACAATTTTTCTTAAACATAAAATACAAAAAGCATCAGCGCAATGTGTGTGGGTCCTCAAACTGTCATAATGCAGGCTGACAGACCTGCCATGAACCTCTGATGAGCCGCTGTGCTTCACACACTTCAGCTTTCCCCTGAAGACCAGCTACTGCTTCATACTGAAGCCTTTGAATGTACATCTCTACTATAATTGACAATCTCAACTGATCCTGAGTCATTTAACACATTTCACATGGACTAATGTTATAGTTTTGGGCAGTGTTAATCTTACAATTACTGATGAAAATGTCTGTTAAAGTATGTATGTATGTATTTATTTATTTCAACAATAATGAAGACAATGACCCTGATAGTGATTTTGAATTAAAACAAAACACTGCAAGATATTAATTTTTTTTTATGAAGAAATGTAGAAAGAAAATTACAAGAATGTCGGGGCTTACCGATTAAGCTATGTAAGCATAAATATAATATTACTCATACTGTTAAAAAAAATATATATATTAAAAAATATATTTAAATTTTTTTTAATATACGTTATAAAATATGAGCGAAGATTAATTAAATATATTTTTGAAATTGAAAATAATATATATTTAGTTTCAACCTCCAAACCCAAATATATTTTAAAATGTATTTCAGGGGCAAGAAAATACATTTCCAATCTTACAGTAGCCTACATTTAGGCTAAATACAAATGTGGGTGGCTTACTAGATTTATGATGATTTAGTCATGTTTCATTTTTTAATGTATTGTAATATGTAATTTTTTGGAACATTGTAAAGTACAGTATGTTCCTTGCTGATTAAATTTTTTTTATTTATTATAACAAATGTTATGTAAATGTATTGTTTTGTAAATACATGGAGGGCAAAATTTTCAGATGCTTAAAATATATATTTAAATTTAAAAAATATATTTTCAAAAATATATGATGATGATGATACATTTTATTTATATTGTGCTTTTCTCAAACCCAAAGTGCTACACAAGACAATTTACAAATACAGAAAAATGAAAATGTAATGTAACAGAAATAATGCATCAATAAGCATCTTTAAAAATATGTGTCTTTAAAGACTTCTTAAAACACACACACATATATATATATATATACACTGTAAAACATACTAGCAGTTTAATACTCAACTACGTTAATAAAGACAAAACTATCTAGCGTATTTACAGATGAAACTGACCTGCACTTGAAGCCCTGAACAGGTCAGTGATGTTGCTACATTTCACAGCTTCTTCTGGACGCTTCCTCTCTTTCATCGAGTCCCGCGCATCGGTTCTGTTCGGAATCGTTTGACGGAAGCGCGGAACACACGTGAGACGATTCCAGCGCTGACAGACAAGACTAACCGATTTATGATTTATTATCGATTTATTATCGAATGAAAAATTTGGAATCACTTTGGTACATTGAGAAGGCATAAATATAAAATATTAATAATAATAATAACTAAAAAAAAAAAAAAAACTAAAAAAAAAAACGGGGCAGCGGGCCAAATCAGCCGCCAGGCCACCGGGAATTCTCCCGGTGCTCCCGATGGCCAGTCCGGGCCTGGGAAGTACCCTTCAATGTTCCGTCCATTAACTGAAAACAGCCAAGACTAATCGATTCTTGGGATTTAAGAATCGATATCGTTCCGTAAAAATGAGAATCGATTAATATCGAAATATATATATTTTTTACCCAGCCATAGTAACTACTTTTGTCACTAGTGACTTTCATTGCATGAACAAAAAATACTGAGATGTTTCTCAAACTATCTTCTTTTCCATGTTCCATACTCGATGTTAGGCCATTGTAGCCTAAACATCTAACACAATAATAGCTTTAAATGATCGTTTGGGATTATTTTCACAGCCAAATTAGTTTACGATTAATTAGATTAATTAATCGCAGCACCCTGTAATTAATTTAAAAATTTTAATCGACTGACAGCCTTATATATATATATAAGATTTTCCATATGGCCTGGTGGTGAAAGCATTGCCTTTGAAATGGCTCTAAATCTACAAAACTTCCTCATGACTGATATCACATTTATTCATTGTGTAACGCGAGGAAAATGTTCCAAAACCACATCCACATATTAGTCTCTGAAGGCTTTAGTGGTACTTCATTATCTCATTTGTTCTCAATCAACCAGAGCATGTTGTGACTCCCTAAAATCCTGCACGGGTCATTTGTATTTTATTGGGTTCATCATTGATCTGCCACTCGGGGACAACCGCAGGATCCTACATCATTAGGCCTATGCATTCTGAAGAGCTTTTGTCACTGATTGGCTCAGATTGTGTTGTTGTCATGGAGATTTGCAGCCCAGGCTGCGGTTTGAAGTGTAACGTGAGTGAAATTCAAATAAAAAAGTATGAATATAAAAAGAAAATAATGTCCCAGTTCAATAGCATCATTTTCTACTCAGTAAAACTGCGAGAAGAATATAAATCTAGTCATCAAAAAAAAAAAAAAAAAGCCAGATTCAGTGACTAACATCTGTTCTACGAGAAAATGGTGTTTTGCATCCACTCACTTTAAATTAAATATAAACAGATGCATACAACTAATTAGAATACAGGACAGAAAATCAAATTTGACATGTAGCTGGTAGTTTCCAAGTAATTAATTCTGTGCATACTTGTCTCAAATTCACCAATCAACAGTTTGTACCGCGAGCGTCTTAAACAATGACACTTTTGGCATCTGCCTTAATTATAAGGCAACAAGCTTGTCTCGGCCCAATTTACCAAGTGATTAAAACTTCTAAGAATTTCTTTTGTTACAGCAATGGTTTATAAATAGTCTAAAGAGAGGTATTAGTCTAATGAGGGTTTAGTCTCGAGGATGAGATGCGTGATTGGAGCTGATTAGCTTCACAGAACATAGGATCAGGAGGGCTGCCGCAGCGTATGGAGCTTAAAAAGGTCCTGCCATTCTTTAAAGCTTCTTTTTGTGTTCTCGGAGACTGTTTCACTTTCATTAAGATTAAAATACATATTGAATACTTGAGTAAAATAAGGGCTTTATGCTGCACGTTAATGGAACACAGTCCATTGCATCATTCATTAAACAGCAATGGCTGCCAGTTACAGCACTCACAATCTGCTGTCTGTTGCGTCTGTCTAAATCGCCATGGTAACCTCATGCTCTCTAGCTTTGACAGTAAAGTGTCCGAATGTACCTGTCAATCATGAGTCTTGGAAAGATGAAAAAGCTTGCTTAAAGTGCAAATAATGAATAAATCTTTTAAAATCTTACTAGTTGGCTGCATGGAATATTTCATTCTGTTTGGTCATTCCTCACATTCTGTAGGTATTTTGTCAGTGGCTTTCCAATCGGTTTTTTATTTGTTTACAAAACTATAAATAACTTTTTATTAATTCATTTGACTATAAATATTAAAATAATTGTTTAAATAAATATTTATGTTAATATTACATCATAAAATATGTTCTCACCCCTTACAGTGCACTTTTATTTAAAGTCTGATAAAAGACTGTCTGAAAAGTCTGAAAACATACAGACTTTATACACCTAATTATTTAATGTAATCGTCTATTTTTTTTTCCAGTGGATTGATTGATTAACTGATCAACAAAAAATATATTTTTAATTAATATTTTAATTAAATTTAAATATTATATTAAAATAAGTAGAAAATGTAAAAAAAATAAATATTTATATAAATATTTCTGCTTTATGTTTTCACATGCAGTGCCTTTTCACCTACAGTCTGATAAAAGACACACAATTTATACACCTACAGTTTAAGCATAATATAGTATTTATTTTTTCTACTTCAAAATTTCATGTTTAATTTAATGTTTCTACAACATTTTCTCAGTCGATTTCCTACATAGCTGTAGTCTTCTAATATCACTCACCAGTCTCTTTCTACTCCCATATTAAAATAGCATAAATGCACATCTGTATGCATTTGTTTTTTGTTTAATAAATGTAATTTATTTTAATAC